TCTAGATCACAATAATTCCGAATATTATAAATGTAGTCATACCGTCAATAAATTTATTTCACAAAAGAATAATTAATATATTTTTAATTATTTTATATTCATAATCTAATATTAAAAAACATTTTTATTAATTTCTTAATTCCAATTATAAAATATAATAAATAAAATTGACATTACTTAAATATAAAATATAAAATTCAATCGACCTTACTTAATAATAGTAAATAAAAATTTTGAATATGTAAAATTTAAATTATAATTCAATCATAGAGAGTGAAGTAAGGAAACAACAAGTTTATCTTTAAAGTATAATCTTCATATTTACAAATATTTTTTTAATATTCACCTTGGAGATTGTACTAATATTTTCACTAAATGTATACCTAATCAGAAGATTTACATGGTTCATTATAAAAATCTGTTATTGATTCATATTTATTTCCTATTATTACTGCATTTTCATTGTCTATACTGGCAATATTTTTAATTAAAATGATGTCACCATTGTTTAACGTACAACAATTATCTGGTTCTTGTATTTTTACAGTAAATTAGGAAACACTATTTTTTTCCACTGACTTCTATATAAATTTTGATCTAAAGGGCCGTTTATTATGTTTATTTAATAATTCGGTTTTGGATGTTTAATTTATTTTCTTTGTTTAATTCCGCGAAGTTTTCTTCATGTATACGATTTATTATTTGTTGTAACGGTTTATCTTTTTTACGAACATCCTTTTATTTTTGCATATGATTTTCGAAGGGGTAGGCACTGTAGTTTTGTAAAAGACCAAATTTTTTACATCATTATTACATACATGTAACAATTATGTATATTAATTGTACAATTGTGTTTACCATACAAATAATAAAAAGATTTTACAAAATAATTAAGAAGAGAATCAGCGTAATCTAAATATTTATTAATATGATGATGAAGTAGTTACAGCAACATTCAAACACATAAAATTGAGATAATAATTGTCATGACTGAGAATAGATTTTAAAACAACAGGCCCTGTGTATAGTAAAAATTGCCTAAATTCTGTTGCCTTCTACCTTTTACTTTTTTGTAATGATCTCGGTTTACGGTTAAATTCTAATGGAATATTTTTAATTTGTTTTATTAATAATCAGAAATTTGTGAGATTTGTGTTGAGAACATTTTGTTGGTGGTTTACCAAAACACCACAAATGTACTAAGTTCTTGTAACGCCCAGATCAATTAAATGCATTGGCTCTACAGGGAAATCACTAATCGTATTTAAATCTTTAATTAATTCAAGATCTGAAGTTTTTGAATTTACATGATGTTCTTTTTGAGCTTTTGATCTAAATTCAAAATCGGTTCTATCGCGAAATTTTTCTTAAACTCGAAAAATAAATTCTACCATTAATATAATCCCCCTCAATATGACATTTTGAACACGAATAAAAATCAGTATGACCTTTAGTAAATTTAATAATGCCTTAGCAGACGTATCACATATAAAACCTTTAATTTTAAAGGGATAGTTAGTTTCATTTATTGTAACATCATGCGTTGATAAATCAATAGCTTCATTGATAAAATCTTTTAGAAATACATTTGCATCATTTGGTTTTTGTTTTTCCGTGATATATGCTTACAATACCTACTTACTACGATTTTCAACTAAACTGCATAATATTGGCCACAACTGTTGATTTAAACTTTTAAAAGAGGTAACCCATCAATATTTATATAAACTTCTACTTGTTGTAATTTTTTAAAGTTATAAATAAAAAAAGTTTCTGAATGCAACTACTTAAACCGAAATGAAAATAATGTCCTGGTTCAACAATTTTTAAAGCTTTTTTCCTAGGAGTTTTTATTAATACGCGAGCATCCGAAGGCAAATCATTATGTTTAGACTCAAATATCTAATAATTCATTCAGAGCAATATGTGTAATTTTATTTTTTAGAGCCCAAGTAGCAAGTTGAGATGCTATCGAAGATTCATTAGTTGTGTAATTGAAATTTTTATAATTACTTATTAATTCATCGTTATTCAAAGTATTTTCATTACTCGAATCATTGTTGTTATCAGATTCATCATTATCTGAGTCAAATTTTCTATATCATCTACATTATCTTCATTGATATCTATATTATCTATATTGTTATCTCTATTGATATCTATATTATCTATATTGTTATCTGCTAAATTGCTATCTATATTATTATCTTATATCTATGTTATCGATCTCAATATTGAAATCATTATCCAATTCAATGTGACCATCGATGCATGGTGTTTGTAATTAATTCTTTATTAATATCATTATTTTTATTTAAATATTGAGCAAAATAATTAGATTTAATTAAATTTATTGAAATATCTGAACAGGTTTTTGCGCGCCTGTAATATTTAATAGAAGTAATGCTTTTATATAAAGCCCACTTATCTGACTTAGGGATTTAATTTAAAATCCCATACTATTCCAGTTTTTCCTTCAATAGTTGGAGAAAAATTTTCTTTGTAATAAAAGGAAGGCATATAATCTGATGTAGAGTTATTCTTTGATTTAAAGGTATTCCTATATATATTTATTACTTAGTGATAAGGAGAAGGGAAGAATGAAATATGAAGGAAGAGGAGGAATAGACTTGTTTGGTTAATTAAAATTGGAAAAATTGAAAAGATGAATTGCTAAATTGAACTGGGGCTTAAATATTGACAAAAGCCATCTATTTTGTATGTCCCTTTATTTATATGTTGTTTTGTTGTCATTGCGCAGCTATACATATACTTAGGGGAGAATAGGGAGTTGGGAGACGGGTTTTGTTTTAAAGCATAACTACCATAAAAATCGGTAGTTTGCAAACCTGTAAAGCAGGATATGTAGTAGACTTTACAATACAACTATTGGCTGTAACAGTTCGTTGAAATTTACAGCGGTTGTACAAATTTATATGGCTCGTAAAAAAGGAATGATTTTCGAAGTTTCAAAAATGGTGGGGAGTTGTGAGACATGACAAAATATGGGAGAAAATGGCATATTTTTATAATGAAGTTTTATTGAAGTTGTGAAAAATAGAAATGGAGACAGTTGTGTCGAAAAAAATATTGAACAACAAACAAAGTCGGCTTAGTTCGCTGAATCCCTGTGTTCACTGCGAATCGGTTAGTTCGATTCGCAGTGAACACAGGTATAATAGCCGGTTGTTATGCAGGCACACTTCAAGTGCCCGATCACATACATTGCAATGTATTGAGTTGTTTCGGTTCAATTTCTTTGGCATTGCACCTTTGCAGATAATGCAGAAGTCTTCTTCTTCAGATGAAGTTGACATTGCCTTCGTTGGCATGGAAAGTGCACGACTGTGCTTTTTCGGTAGTGCCACATCCGTTTGCTTCTTTTGTTTCTCGTTTTTTGCCTGCTTTGCCCGCTTGTCCTCAGTTTTCTTGTGTAAGCTGGTCATATTTTCAGGCAAAGTCAAAATGGTAGTTTCCATTGACTTGCGGCCTCGCTTGGATTTTTTGGCTGGTGTTTAAAAGGTCCAACATCTTGCAATGCACTGCGAAGAACTGCAGCCGATGTGCTCGGCGCCGATGATGTGCTGGCCATTTCAGAAGCTGGCCATTTGTGAGACACTAAGTGTCTCACAACTCCCCACTGTTTGTGTCTCACAACTCTCTACTTTGGACATTTTCAGACTGGCCGCATCGCCATCGACACACCGAATGTTCATCTACAATTCTTTTTGTGTGTGACAAGGCAATCGCCCACTGATATTTTTGCACTTACTTACCTTTGCAATCAGCTTCAAATCGTGCGTAAAAATATCACACACACAAATGGTCGAAAAAACTTTTCGGACTATTGTTGCTCGCATAATAACGAGACACTTAGCATGCGTGTTGACACGACGAATGCAAACGGAAAAGTGAAGTTATGTCAAGAGAAACATTTAATGCTTTTTGGAACATTTCTAACTCTCTTAGTATGGCGGAGATTGGCGTGTTTCAGAACTCCCCACTCTCCCCTATCTATTAATTATTATAATAATATTACAGATGAATTACGATAAAGCGAATTTGTAAATTTCCCTCCATTTTAGAACAAAAAATGAATAGTCCAAAACAGGTCCATGTATGAACATCTATTGGACGTACAATATATATCCATAAATAAATTATATAAAGGTGATGTCAAATGGATGTCTACTGGATGTACGTTTATTATTACTCAATGTACGTACTTATAATGGACGTACAATGGACAACTATTTTATGTCCATGGATATATGATCAAAAAATGGACGTAAAATGAACGTTCATAAGACGTACTGTGCTATTTGGGTACTACACTATTTCATTTATCCAATAGTTTTAATCATCTCCGTACGATTCTGCTTTAATAGGTATATACACCATCTTTTGTATCCGTGATATATGCATTATTAATATGCTGTCATCTCATTTTTACCAAATTGATCAATCTTCTTTCAAATCTATCGTTTAACTAACCCTATATATTGTAGCTGGATATGTCAGAAGCGGAATTGTTTTTAAGCAATTGCTTAAATTCAACATTTCCGCCAAAACTTCCACGTGTGTATCACCTTCCTCCGCAATATAATGCAGCAATGTGTTGTTCTGAAATGAAAACCAATGGTAACATCGTTTAATTGAAAAATTGTTTATAAAATTATATCTTTTAAATTACATAGTTCGTTAATCACAGTTTTAATTACGTTTATTTCTCTCTAAAGAGCACATCACGAATAATTATATTAGGTTGGGGAAAAAGTAATCCATTATTTTTGCGTGAAATTCAAGACTTTATTTAACATATTTCGGATTGTCCGATTTGGGTCAAATATGCACCGTTTTGTTGTATAATTAGTTGCCATTTTGAAGGTAGCTTCATAATGCCTCTCTCGTAGAAGTCTTGGTCCTTATTGGCGAAAAACTCTAGTAATCGATTTTCACAATCCTCTCTTGATCCCAATTTTTTATCACTCAGGAAATTTTGCAATGCGAGAAAAAGGTGGTAATCGCTTGGTGCCAGGTCCGGACTATATGGTGGATGCATTAAAACTTCCCAACCAAGCTCCCTGAGTTTCTGGCGAGTCACTACAGACGTGTGTGGCCTGGCGTTGTCCTGATGGAACACAACACCTCTTCTGTTGGCCAATTCTGGCCGTTTCTCATTAATCGCTAGCTTCAAACGATCCAGTTGTTGACAGTACAGATCTGAATTTAGTGTTTGGCCATACGGAAGCAACTCATAATAAATTATTCCTTTCCAGTCCCACCAAATACACAGTAGAACCTTCCTGGCCGTTAGTCCTGGTTTGGCCACCGTTTGAGCTGCTTCACCGCGCTTTGACCACGATCGTTTTCGTACAATATTGTTGTATGTGACCCATTTCTCATCCCCAGTAACCATCCGTTTAAGAAATGGGTCGATTTCATTTCGTTTGGCCAAGGCTTCGCAGATGAAAATTCGATCCATCATGTTTTTTGGTGTTAATTGGTGTGGCACCCAAACATCGAGTTTCTTTTTGAATCCTGTTTTGCCCAAATGGTTTAAAACTGTTTTGTGGTCGATCTTCAGCTCCTGGGCGATGCTACGACTACTAACATGCCGGTCAACTTCGATCATTTTCATGATTTTATCGACATTTTCGACGACGGGCCTGCCTGTGCGAGGTGCATCTTTAACATCAAAAATGCCTCCACGGAATCGACGAAACCAAAATTGCGTGTAATTAGCTGTTACAGTATTGGCACCATAAACACCATTCACAATTACAGCCGCCTGGCTTGCATTTTCGCCTTTATCGAACAAAAACTGTAAAATGTACCGAATTTTTTCTTTGTTGACTTCCATTTTTAACACCCTGTAACTCAGAACTGAATGGACCAAACAAAAAACAGTAAAACAATGTTTTTTAGTGTTAAATGTTACCTTGACAACGAGCATAAATTTGAAATTGTTTGATCGATACTTTACGAGATATCGAACACTACAGCCATCTACCGAAAAAATAATGGATTACTTTTTCCCCAACCTAATATATGATAAAGTTAGGAATATTAGGACGTAGTATGTTCCCAAATTAATAATAATGATTTTTTACGTTCTCCAGGACTGTTTGAGGAAAATATTGGCCAAATAATTAAGGGAGGATTACGTACACGACTGAAACCACCTCAGTAAAGCCCAATATAATTCAATTTTTTGGTACAAATTTCTATATATTTGGTGCAACTTTTTGATATTTTTTTAGAAATATTAACTTTATAACATAAATTTACAGTCCTTTAAAACATTCTGTTTTTTCTATAGCATTTTCTCACATCAATTTGGCGCTCTCTTTTACCTTTTTTGGAAATTTTTTTTTCGATTATACTGTTGTCTTTGATGCAATTTTTTCGAAGATTACGAGTTTTGTTCATCCCGTAACGATTCTTCTTTTCGAAGATTCGCATTTTTCGGGTTTCAGTTGCAACATTAACCCTATTATGTCCCGTAAGCTTGTTACGACAGTTTCAAGTATTTACAGACTCGTCACTTTTAAATGTGCTTTCATCAGAAAATTTTATTTTCTGATGAAAGCAAAAATGAAATTTTCTGATGAAAGTTTTGTGATTGTTGACGTATCCAATTGCAATATTCAAGTCTGTTTCTAAAATCGATAATCGTCATTGCTTGGTGAAGACTCATTCTGTACGGATGTAGCTTGTTTTCATGCAAAATCCGCTGATTCATGACACGACTAATACCAGAATCTCTTTCTCTACGCCTTAATGAATCGTGAGGATGCAATTGAGCAGATGCAAGAATTTCTGGTGTTCTTTCTTCTATAACTGGTTTTTTATTTGAAATAATATATATCACTTAGATTGATATTTTAACAGCCTCTTTTGCGATAATCGAAGACGTTACATTGCAGTACACAATATACGCTTCAGCGTAGGGCGCAAAATTTTTAGTTTAATTTTTTAACTATTTTTGCAGTTTTGCTAAATAATGGGGCCATTGTCGCTGGAGCGTACAAATTCCAGCGTAGGGGCACCTAAGACAGTCGTAACGTCGCCGGCGATAACGAATTTCTAGTTTTGTAGCTGACTTTTGTTCCGGATTTGATAGGAGAATTAATGGACGATTCACTTTCTTATGCCATTATTTTTTCTTCCACTTTCTTCGGCATTTATGTGATAGTTCCATAAAGAGAACGGTATGCTCACCGCCACTGTGTTCGATTGAAGAATCGAGAACATTCCTCAAAGAGAACGGTATGTTTACCGCCACTGTGTTCGATTGAAAAATCGAGCACGTTTCCATAAAGAGAACGGTATGTTCACCGCTACTGTGTTCGATTGAAGAATCGAGCACGTTTCCATAAAGAGAACGGCATGTTCACCGCCACTATGTTCGATTTTCGAATAAAATTTTATTTAATTTTGCTTGAAATTAATTAAAGAATTTGATATTTGTAGTATTCGCGTTTGTAATAATATGTAATAATTAAAATTTTTATTCTTAATTAAATATTGTTGTAACAAATATGCAATCATTACAATTTTTATTTTTATTATAAGGTGTTAATATTATACATAAGTTTCTATATAAAGAACTCTTTTTTTATTTATAATAAAAATTTATATCTTTTTCATTACATATGACGTATATATGTATACATATGTATATTTATACACGCATGTATAAATTATAATTATAATTTAACATAAACTCTTCCAGAATTAAAAAAATTAAAAAAACTTAGCACTTTTTTTTATATGTATATACATATATATATATATACATTAAACATAGTTATATACGTGTGTCTCTCGTGTTGTTGCTCAGGTACATACACATATGTGTAAGCTTTTGGAATATAGCAACATATGAAATCAAACTCGCTAACCAATTTAGGCAAGCGTTGATTTGTATCAATGTTCTGCAAAGCCTGGAGTATGCTGTAAAACAAGATATTTCAAATACATTAATATCAACACATATAATATCATTTAAATACATTAAATATCATGTTCATTATAAATAGCAGTAAACATTACATTTAATTAAATAATATGCAATTAAACAGAGCTATAAGAACCGATAACCAGCTTTTATGAATCTGTTTTACTGCATATTTTATTTATTAGATGTAAATGTTCATCGCTAGATATAACCAGTCAATAAGCACAATTATTACAATAGTATTTGTATCATTTATTTACATGTTCTCACAACACCTTCGATAAAATAGTTACAAGCAATGATTCGTGTTTAGTATTCTACGCAGCAAGGAAAACGCTACAAGATATTTTTAAAAATTATCAAAATTGCACATAATTATAGTTTATAATTTAAATGAATAAAAAGCTAATTCATCCACCTTAAAATGTAACAAAATAGTATATTATATGAAGAATTTATATTGGCACGTAGAGCATAACCTATTTTTTGGACAACAGTTATGTAAAATTTAGAACAAATATTAATGAAAAAGAGAAATATTATAGATCAATTTACTTTCACGTTGTGTAGAAAATCCATATTTAGTATATATTAGATGATTATTTATGAAGACAGAAAAACCTTTGATATATATAAATTATCCACGAAAATTCCGTTGATGAAGCAGATGAACAGCAAATCGGAAAGAGCTTTCTTCTCAGCAACACATATATACACACACAGGACACGGAAATACTTGTTGCGCGGCAAAATTTAAAAGTGATGCTTATTACAAAATATGTTATATAACATTTAAATAATGCTAACGCAACGCTTGTTATATAACATATTTTCATTTTATTGTCTTATAATTTCTACTCTTAATTTCCCTTTGGGAATATAAAGATTTTCTACGAGGACTGCGAACAAATCGGCATCTATTAATCCCGTAGCTAAGTCAATTAATAGTCCAATAATAATATCAATAATAGAATAAAGACCTATTTTCCTGAGGTTTTGTACAGTCTTATCCGAAAATTTAGGTTTCATTTGGAATAACGAATAGGTAGTTTTATTTCATTTTATTAGATATTTTATATGAGTATACAAATGTACTTAATTTAATTTTGCAAATGAGCTGTGTATTGGTCTATTTGCATATCGCTCTTTGGTAATTGGTCTTTTAGTCTCGTACTTAAATCGATAGGTGATAACTCTCCTTGTGAGGTATCTTCTTTAGGTTTAGATTCCCTATTTAATTCGAAGTAAGTTAATAGGTCTGAAGCGGCTGCCGGTAGATCTGGAGTGTGGCCTTCTGTAGGCTCAGTTTTAATTCTATTAGACGCGGGTGTTAAAGCTGATTGTGAGTTGGTAGAGTTAGGAGAAATGCTAGTCTTCCAGAAGCTGCGCAATATGTATCGAGGGAACGAAACCGTCTCGATTGTTTTGATGCGAGGTTTATTGGCAATCTGTTCGCGTGTTAACCAACGCAGGCACGCGGCTACGTGCTTTGCACGGATCTTTACGCCGGCTTGATAGTTTCGTTTATTTCGCCGTTCGTTTTTAGCTTTCCGGTTGCTCATCTACAATGGAGTTAGAATGCGTCTAGATCAAAGTATTTATTTGGTTTTATGTAATAAGGAGAGATAAATGGGTAGTTCTCGGGAGGTGAAGGAAGTTCGATGGTGGGAAATGAGGCAAAATCATCAAGGGCAGAATTGAACTGCTCGATGATTATAAAAGAATAAATAGAGCAGGCGCGAAATAATCAAGAGCAGAACGCAGTGCTCAATGATTATTTAAAGCATTGACGAGACGAAAAAAGGTGCTCGACAATAGAGAAAGGAGGCGCAAAATCGTCAAGAGCAGAACGCAGTGCCCGACGATTATGAAAGAATAGAGAAAGAAGGCTGAAAATCATCAAGGGCAGAAGACAAATTTTGCACTGCTCGATGATTATAAAGGAATAGAGAAGGAGGCTGAAAATCATCAAGGGCAGAAGACAAATTTTTGCACTGCTCGATAATTTGCAACGTCTTTTCCTGTGCCGAAACGCCAAGTTCGGACAGGGGAGCGTTCAATTTAAAGATTCTCCAAGTTTAACTAATAAAACGGTAAAAATCGGTATCAGAAGAGTTAATTCTACGCCCTTAGGTGCGTTCATTAACTCACGGTAAAGTTGGGCGCCAGGCGCGTGTGAACGCGCCACGATAATACTGTGAACGATACTTAAAGTTACTTTTCCAAATTTCATACAGAGTCGCAGGTCTATAGGAGTGATGGGTCTATGGTTGAGAGAGAGGTATAGAGAGACATACACGTGGGTTAGAGTTTGACAGATATATATATTTGACACTTAGGATTTACAATTTGACATCGGGTACATACAATTGGATAATAAAATTACGTAACAAACAGTAAGATATAAACTAGCGGTAGCGAATCAAAAATATAATATAATAAGATCTGCGAGTAACGGTATTTTCGGAATTGACTTATAGAATTAGTATTAATTATACACGGTGAAACATTCTATATGATTTCGCGACAATAATATACAAACGGAATAACAAATACAAAATCGGTAAACGTTATGATGGTTTAACTTATTTTCGCGGGCACGCGGAATAGACAGAGGTCACACTATGATATTCCGAGACACGGCCCGGTATAAAAAAAACACGATAACAACTAGATGACGGAGATTTCGTGATTCTCTCGCACGACTCTCTCGCCGAGTCGAGAACAATGAAATAGTTAAAAACTCGCGGAGACGGCTACACGCAAATCCCGAAAATCTAATAATCGAGCTAATAAAAACGTGACTCTGAATATTTCGGTAACCCGAATTTACGATAATTATTTTCGAGACGATAGACTGTCGGCGGCACTTTTCGGAGAGGGCTCTCTTCGCGAAACGCAAAGTCGGCTGGCCC